TTTATTCACCAATATAAAACCCACCATTTTGAACCATTAATTATGCAAATGTTTAATGGCACATGACCATATACCGTATAGCAGGTTTATTTTGAGGATAACAAAGTTTGTGAATTTGACAAATTTTTGAAGAATTAAATTCCTTGAAAATCAATTCAATACAGTACAAGATAGCAGAAAAGCGACAATTCGTGAAAATTAATTCCTGGAACGTCCAGATACAGACAATTTGCAAAAATTATTATCCTAAAAACCGCTATACGGTATTTATCCAATGAAAAATCATCAATCATCATAAGTTTAGCAATTTGACCAAAATTTCCCTCACCAAAATTACTAGCTACATATGGTAAACTAAACGAGTCACTTACAGTTTCAGTTTCATCTTTCAGTAGATCAACTTCACCAACACAATTCATGTCCCGAAAAAATTTACTGAACTTTTCATTGATCTTTTTAATCATTTCATCAAGTGGCTCAAGCCAACTGCACACATTAATTATTTAATAAGAGATGATGTGACAGTCATGTGACTCACCGATTCTTCAATTCTTCAATATTTTGCTCATGATTCTGATACTCTTCATCTTCTTTCTCAATCTACATGTAACAAAATACATTGTAAATTCTTAATAAAAATCAAACAATAACTCATTAATAATTGTTAGTAACATATATACATCAACACCCACAAAGGCCACAATGTTAACATGCATGTACATAATGTGCAGCTACATGTACATGTAATAGTGAATGAGACCTAAACCAAAGCTTAGAACTGCTGCAAAATGAAACACAGAATTACATTTACAATGTAGTCAATCTTTAAATTGTTTTCATTGATCAAGTCCCTCATGCAGTACTAGTAATGGCTTTTAAAGTGAACTTCACCTGTTCTTTTAATTCTTTAATCTTAGACTCATTAGCTTCATATTGTCTAGTAGCCTATAAATAAAGTATCAGAGAGTAAGTATAAAAATTGACACTGACAGATGCATGTACTTGTACAGTGTATATACAGTGTGTGTATACTTGGTTGCTTACAGCTTCTTCATCATTGAGAGATGAGGAGTGCATTTGTACTGTGTTTGGTGCTCATGTATCATATCCTCAAGCTCAGCTGATGTCTCTGGATAACTAGTGAATGCCTAAAACCAATGAACAATAGAACATGTTGAAAGGAACATGAAACACATTAAAGTAAAAGTAATTAATTTAAATACATGTACATGTATGCATGCATGAACATGTGTATATGTACAATGTACATACATGTACCGTATTTCCTTAAATAAAAGCCCAGGCATCTATTTCCTAAAATGGTACCTATTTGGACCTCGGAAAAATATATATTTATATATAAAACTTAGGCCCAGAGCATAGATATAATACACAGAACGGGATTAGAAACAGGATCACGTGAGCGCATTGTTGTCAGGAACTGGTCCCGTAATGGAGATGAATGGAGATACTTTGTGGGACTCTCCAGACGATATCTGATAGTCTTGTAACTAAATATATGCTTTTATGGTTACTTCTTAACCTCTTACAGTGCACTGTGATGTTTGTTATGGACTGCGTTTAATAGTTTTAGAGTACTGACGACATTGAAATATGGCCTTTGGTTTCAATATGCCATAACTTTCTAAAACTTCTGTGTAAGGCTGTAAGCACTAATAAATGTCTTAATACACTAAAGATCCTCAGAGAGTAGCCTTAAAAGCTCATACTAGTGCATCTCGCCGTCTCCGGAAATTGCTAGGGTCCCACAAACTTTTCGAAAAGGGACAGTCGGGCCCCCCCGCAATAGTCGAGCAGCTGCCCGGGGCTCCAATATAACTAGGAGTGTTTCAATGGATAATGCGCTCATGTGATCCTGTTTCTAATCCCGTTCTGTGTATTATATTTATGCCCAGAGCGGGGTTCGAATCTGTGACCTCATGCTTTTGACTTCTGGAACTTCAGGCATTATCCACTAGACTACTGAGTAACTCCTGGGCTAGTGTTGCGTATTTATAGTTAAATTGTATTGCTACCCCGGCGTTTATTCGAATGTGGCTTCTATTTAAGGATATACGGTATGTACAATGTATACGTGTAAAACGTGAGTTGTAATTCATGTTCATAATATACTAACATAAACTTGGGTTCATAAAATACTATACAAGATGATTTATTGGTGAGAGTAACATTTGGTAAATTTACTCTAATGGCGATTTTATGCCATGTGCCATTGAGCATGCTCAGTTTGCAACAAAATGGCAGATTTTATACTGGCGATTTCTTCATAGAACTGCCAATCGCCAATATTAATCCCTCGCCAATAAAAATCATCTTGTATGGCAATTATTAGTACATGTACATGTACATGTAAATACATCAGTTATTTCCTGAGGTAGACTATTAGGTGATGATACTCCTGTTAGTTCTTTAGCTTTATCCATCATTAAACGAGCTTTATCTTTATACGTACTCTCTGAGTCCTTAGCTTGAGTAAGGGTAGCCTCACATGATGGAATAATGACAATAAAAGAGAGAAAGAAGACAAGAAAGAGATATTAGTAGAGAGATCTAAACTAATAATTGTTTCCTCTTACAGATGCTTCTTTCAGTTCATTGGCCACTTCTTAGAATTCTCTCTCAAATTCTTCTCTTTTCTTTTTAGATTCCATTAGACTAAACTGAGTCCTTATCTTAGCCACTAACTCATCACAATAAGTCTATACATGTACATGATACAATATGTAAACAATAACAATGTAATACCTTACATAATTATATTTCATAGGTATCAAATTTCACGATTCGGTTGCATTCAGTTTTGTATTTGTGAACATAAATTTTGCAATTTTAATGTAACTACCATACCTACTATAGTCAGCATGCTATTTTGTGGATTTTAATTTCGCAAATTTTTTCGAAAAGCAAAAATCATGAAATTTAATCGCCACAAATATATGACGCATACCGTACTAATACATTGTATAAATTACACAAAAGAACATGCACAAAATTAACTGTGACAAACTTATTAAATT